TTTTGAAGATGGGAACCACATTGGCCCTCTTCCAGTCCTCTGGCACCACACCAGAGTACCATGAGTGCTCATAAAGCCGTGCCAGAGGTTCCGCAAGGACCTCAGCTAATTCCCTCAATACTCTAGGGTGGAGATCGTCCGGACCAGCTGATTTGAATACGTCCAGTCCCTCCAGAAGTTCCCTAACTAGATCCTCACTGACCCTTGGCCTAGGTGCGCCTCCCCTGGGGCCTGAGGGGGGCCCAGTTGGGGGGGCTGTTCCGGTCCCTGCTCAGGAAAATGTAGGCAAAGAAGTCATTAAATAGGTTAGCTTTGTCGTCTGGTGTGATGACCAGATTTCCTAGTGTGTCCTGCAGAGGCCCCACGTTACCCAGTACCTTCTTTTTGCCCCCTATGTATTTAAAAAAAGACTTCTTGTTGTCCTGGATCCGGGCAAGTCACTTCATCTCCCACTGACTTCTTGGGGTGGGATTCAATGAAGGTCAAGCAGTTAGCCTTGGGGCCTCTGTTTTTCCCTACCTATTGCACTGGGGTAATGTCACTCCCTGCCTTTGTCGAGTGGTTCGACCTCTGTACACAAGTGAAGCCCCCATGCAGTAGCCTGACTCAAACCACTTATGCTGTCCATTGTAACCCTTCTAGGTGCGCAAAATGGGCTAGTGCAGACATTTCTCTAGCATATTCCCTGCACATCTTGCTATAGGCTCCAGATAACGCAACCTCACAGCACTCTCCTCTGGGGTAGGGGCTGAGTCAGAGGGTGTTTACGCACAGGCTGAAATACAGCTGACCTCACCGGATGCCTTTGCAGGAAGGACACGACACAGCGGAGTGTGGCTGTTGATGGCTCTCCAGGGGCAGATGGGATGGGAACACAAGTCATTCTTTTGCTCTTTGCTAAAGACGCCTTGCCCTCTTAGCAGCTAAGGTCACTTTGGGCTTCAGAGAAGGCAGGAAAGGGACAGTTCATACCAGGCTGCTGGACATAGCAAAAAAGTCTGATTTTCCTGCAAAAGGAGTTTAGTGCAGAGACATCCCAGGGTGTGGGCATCTCGTGGGTATTAGGCATAGCATAGTGTGCTCGCTACACAGGCAGGAGGGGCTGTTTTGGCTCAGTCTGTTGTTGAGACACTGCTGTGGATGCAGCTGCATGAGGGATGAGTCTTCCCACCTGTCCCAGGCCCTGCCCAGGGGTGGCTTGTCCTTACATCACTCATAGGCCTTTTCTGTGTACCTACTGTATGCTCCCAGATGACCAGGCTCTGGGAAAGCGGAAAGCATCAGCAGCTGGGAACAGGCCTCCTTTCTGCTGTGAGGCAAACAGCGTCTGGCCATCAAGGCACTGCATTTTCTCAGGCCATGAAGTCTTGCAGTTTCTGTTCCAGGGATCTGCCCTACGTCCAATCTCCTGCCAGCAGCATGACCTGGGCCTCGCCCAAGCCAGCGGGGACATGGGCAGTCCATCCAGGGCAGGGCAAAATGGTGTCTTCTCCCCATCTCTGTGTACATGGTATGCATCTCTTTGGGCATAGTGGGCCAAAGCACAGAAGTAGCCATGCTGGTTCATGTCCCCTCTGTTTTCCTCACGCTGACTTTGCCTCGTGTTGTTGGCTCACTTGACTGGTGACATGGACTCAAAGCCGGAGCTCTACAAGAGAGACGGGGCCTGGTAGCTCCTCCTCTTACACCCTTTGCACCGCCTCACAGCAGGCATAAAGTGCAGCCAATGCAAACTGACAGAGAACAGGAAAAACAGCGCCCCCATGCATGGGGCTTTCTCCATCCTCTTTCTCCCAGGCCTAGCTTCCTGTGACATGCTGGATCTAACTGCAAACCCTCTTCTTGGCTGTTTGCACTGTTGCTACTTCTCTTCCTATGTTCCCAATAACTAAGCGTGACTTGGTCCCCCAGACATAGATGCATCATCCTGAACAGTATGATTTCTTACAACGCGATGCTCTGGGTACTATGAACAGGAGTGTGCCTAGACTCCTTGTTAACACCAACAGCACTTCCTCCTCCATTGCTTCAATGGAAATAAATCCTCATTTTCAAATCTAGGGCCTGCCCTGCAGCTGGTATGAACAGGCACCCACTACTGAAAGCAAAAGAACTGGGACAATTTATACCAGGGCAGGATCTGGTCCCTGTGGCTTATATGCTATGCCTTGGAGTGGGATTCTATGCAGGGATTATCTGAATCCCTGTGGAGAATTCTCTGGCCTGTGCTATGCAGGGGGCCAAAATCATAAGAGTGGGAAAGCAATATGAATTTATGAGTCTCTGATCACTGCGAAGGCCGACCCCTTGGGAAGTGCCGCAGCTGGAGATAGAATTGGTACCTGTAAGTGAGAAGGTCCTGAAACTTGATGAACATCTGCGCCGTGATGTTCAGCTCATAGATGGAGGAATTGATGGCATACAAGTTGCTTGGCATGAGTGTTCCACTGTCATAACAGTGACTGTTAGCCACCACGAGGAAGACTCTGTCCCCAATGTGAAAGACTTCCCAATCAGCAGCACCAAAAGTCTAGCACAAAATTAAAAGAAATGATTGAATGAGGGTAATAACTTTCATAGATTTCATAGACATTAGAGCTGGAAGGGACCTCGGAAAATCATCGAGTCCAGCCCCCTGCCCCAGGGACAGGAAGTCAGCAGGGGTCACAGGATCCCAGCAAGATAAATGCCCAATTGACTCTTAAAGGAGTCCAGAGCAGGTGCTTGCACCACCTCTGGTGGCAGTCTGTTCCAGGCCTTGGGGGCTCAGACTGTAAAGAAGTTCTGCCTTATGTCCAGCTTGAAACTGTCTTGGAGAAGTTTGTGACCATTTGACCTTGTCATCCTATGGAGCACTCTGGTGAACAGGCGTTCCCCCAGATCCTGATGTACACCCCTTATATACTTATAGGCAGCCACCAGATCCCCCCTAAGCCTGCACTTTTCCAGGCTGAAGAGTCCCATAGCTCTCAGCCTCTCATCATAAGGCCTGTTTTCCTGCCCTCTGATCATGCTCATGGCTCCCCTGGACTCTCTCAAGCTTCTCCACATCCTTTTTAAATTGTGGAGCCTAGAATTGGATACAGTTCTCCAGCTGTGGCCTCACCAAGGCCGACTACAGCAGGAGAATGACATCCTGGGATTTGCTAGAGAAGCATCTATTGATGCAAGCCAGAGTTTTGCTCGCTTTGCTGGCTGCAAAACTTGGAAAGGTTGCCTGAAACCTCAGCAGCTGATATCTCAGCAAAGCAGTTAAGGCTACACTTTACCTATGAGAGTCAATGGGAGTTCAGGACATGCATAGTTTTAAGCATGTGGTAAGTACTTTGCTGAAGAGGGATGCTTCACTGATGCAAGGCCTCAGAAAACTCAGTGGTGCTGCCGAAAAGGACCAATGTAGTGTGCAGTACACTGCCTCAAGTCTCTGCCTTAAGGTTCAGGGAGGTGACATGGTAGCCAAGGAAGAGACACAAGTGGCTAGTAGAGAAATAACTTTGACTGCCATTAGCCAGGGATGACAACCAGTTCAACAACTAGGAATATTCCAGTAGCAAAGGTGAAACGACCAACTAACCACTAACTACAGAAGGGATGGGCAGGCCACTCACACCTCAGGACTTCAGGGGAGATAGACAAGTCTTCCTGTTCAGAAAAGTTTCCACTGGAAAACAAGATCTGAATAAGGATTCAGACTGTGAAACCAATCTCTGCTCTGCTTTCTGCCTGAAAATCTCTATAGAAACCTTGCCTGGACGAAATCCTTGTCTGCACTGGCCACAAGGCTTCCACTGTGCTCCTCAAATCTACCACCTTGCCCCCAAAGGAGCTCATCGATGGCAGGGAGTTCATGTCCTGCTATAAAGTGCCAGTGCTGCCAGTGCCCAGCTGGGGTGGGCTGGCAGGTACTTGACACCTCCAGCTGCAAGCAACAAGACAGGGACATGCTAAATGCTCATGCTTTGCACCAGTGGCTGAATGCAGGCAGTGACCGAGGTATCGCCAGCCATGCAGAATCACATGCATCTTTCAATATGATGTCATCGTGGGAACTCATCATTATGTTGTAACAAGATAAGGATGTTTCAGCCTGCGGCAAGAGACCTGTGGCTGTCCCATAGGTAGGAAGTGCTTTTGGGATAAACATCCTCCTCCGTAAACCAGCCTGGTCTCTGGGCAGCAATCATTGGTTAGCCTGAAATGTGAAAGGATAAAAAAATCTGCTGGAATAACACTCTTAAAGAGGGGGATTTTCCAGGCAATGTGGTGTTAAAGCCATAGCAAGCTTAGTGCTAATTCTGCACTTTCTGTGCCTTTAATTCACTGCTCTTGCTTGAAGCATGGTAGGGATTTTCATCAGTCCAAAGTGTAAAAGTTGAGAGAACCAGGATCTGGTGATTTCTCATTAAAAGGAGAACAAGCTGTCCCCTCCAGGGACATACCAGCATCTGAAAAACAAGGCTGAAGTGCACCTTCTCCTTTTGAGATTGCATGTTTCCCATGCTGTTAAGTACTGATCTGCCAAGGGCCAGGAAAATCCAAACAAGCCACACCATCCAGGCCCAAAACAACTTCCATGCAAGAACTGGGTGTTACTAGCTGAAACAAGCCCTCCCACTGAAAGCCAGCTCAGAGCAGCCCACACCAGGCTGAGGTGCTCTATTCAAGCTGGAACCACCCCCCAGGGGCTTTCCCTTCTCCAGGCCTCTGGGAACCAAAATCTCAGGGTGGCAATTATTGACTTAAAAGCCACACAAAAGCAACCGACAAAGAGCATGTATCAACAATGAGACTCCCAAGCAGCTTTGTGCAGTTTGGGCTAGTGCCCAGGCCAGGCAGTTCCCGTCAGCCAGCTGTGTTCTCAGAGGGCTGTAGCAGGTGGCACCTGTGATTCCCTTTCTTTTAAGAGTGCTGAGGTCAAGACTATTCTTCAGCCACCTAACACATAGCTGCCAGCCAAGTCCTGGATCAGGGAGGCAACCCACTGCACCTGTGTAGACGTGTGCTTCTCCACCCTTCCAATGGGGACTTTTTAGCTCTGCTAATATATGTCTGGTCAGAAATCCTCTTCTCCCTGACTGCCTAAGAGATAAGCATCTTAACAGGGCTTCTGACTGGAGCAGACAGATGTCTATGCAGACAAGTGTCTCTCCCAGACAAGCAGCATACAGGTGATGACAAACCATCTGCCCAAACATCCTACTGGTTGGAGTACCTGCCCAAGGCATGGGAAAGCTGGGTTCCAGGGCTCCTTCAGCTCCAGGGAGTTTGAATGCCCATCTCCTAGGATGCAGCAGAATGCCTGATCCACAAACTGTGGGCCAGATATAGGGTCATAGGAAAGTAAGGCTGGAAGGGATGTCTCAAGGTCATCTAGTCCAGTACCCTGCTCAAGGCAAGACCATCATGGTTGATATCACTGTGAGAATCAGCAGTGGCAGGATGCTGACAGTGCCCTCATCCCTCTGCTTTACATTTTCCAAGTTGGGGGCTCTTAGTGTTTCAGGGTATTGTGCCTGGAAGCTGTGTGAGAGGGCTGGTTTAAAAAATAGGTTAGATAAACACTTGTCTGGGGTGGTTTAAGTAGGAATAGACCTGGCTTAAGCAGGGGGTTAGATGAGAAAAATCAAAAATTGTTTGGGGGACCCTTGGCTTGTATGTTTGCTCCACGTGGTTTCAACAATGCTTTGAGTCAGTGCATGGCATGATGTCTCAGGAGCAGCCCTTCTCTTCTGCCTGTGTGTTTCTTTTGTGGATTATTGAACTTGGGGCATAGGCATTCCCTTTGGGACAGCTGTTGGAGCTATGAGAAAAGATGCACTGACCAGCCCAGTGCAGAGCATAGATGTGTAATGGTGGAAGAAAAGGTAGACACAGAAAGGTAGAATGAGTATTGAAGTTTGTAGCAACTTTACTAAGGGACCAGAAAACACTTATCTCCATACTTATTAGCCAGCAGTGTCTCAAATCCCTCCAAGGATAGATACAGGCATTGGGCCATTGCATTAGAAAAGCCAAAGGAAATGAAACAAAAACTTCTTACCAGGATTGACTGAAAGAGCTGAAAAGAGCCACTGAGCCAGACATAAATGTGGGAGTAGATCCTCGTGGATGTGCCATTAAATGTATTGGCTACAGCTAGGAAGGAATAAGGTCCAATGGTGAAAAACTCCCAGTCATAGGCTCCAGAGGTAGGAATGGTCTGGTTGGTCTCAAAAAGCCCAGTCCTGGGGTTCCACCTGTATATGATACTGTTGATGTTGTGATTATCTCCTGGGAAGCAGCAGAAAAAGGAGAGTGCATTAGCAACAGGAGTGCTATCAGGGGAAATTAAATGTAAGAAATCAGACACCAGCCAGGAGTGAGCTGAAACAGAAATGGCTGACAGGGAGCAATCAATCTGTCCCCTTTTCTTCACAGACAATAAACAAGGAGATGCTCCAAGCTCTGTTCCGACCAACACCAACAGCAACTTTTACCCCACAAGGGCAGCGTGAAGTGAGTGAAGGCTCCAGGGAAGCCCTTCTTGAGATGTGAAAGACAGATTCATACAGCCCCTTCCTCTCCTACGCACCTGAGCACATGTGCTGCGACAGAGTTTGGGACTTAGTTCAACTGCAGTGTACCTGGCTACACACAGGCAGCTGGGGATAAGCAATGTGTTACATGTACTGAGGGAGTCTCACCTCCTTAAAGAAACCTGATTCATCCTTTGTAACAAGACAGGCAATCCATGACTTCCCGTAGGTATCCGTGTTCAGTGCTGTCCATTTCTGTGCCCACTGCCTTGGTTCCAACAGCTCATCCATCTCTTGTGAAGTCTACGGGTGGAATAACTTCATGGCTAAGACTTCATACCCTTCCAGTTGAAGCCCCTGGGCTGCATCTCTTGTTAGTCAGTTGGAAACTTCTCAATGAATGTACCAGTTGTATTGCACTTGTTCCCAAGCTGTGCTGAGCAGCCCCAAGCCAGGCTGCCTGCTACCCCACTAAAAAACCCTTTGTCCTAGCCAAGACCTTTCCAGAGGGGACAACCAGCAGAAAGCCAGCTTACCCCATCCTCTGAGGCCCTCCCTTGAGGGGGAAGCCCCCTGGGTGCAGGAGAGCTATCAGAATTGTGGGTAGAGCTACCCCACACCTCTCACGCCTGCAATTTTAATCCTGCTATTTCTAAAGGGAGTGGTGATTGATCTCTCTCTCAACAGCTCAGCACAAATTATGGGCCAGATCAGGAATCTGCAGATGGAAACCTCTGCGTGATACAGGATGCCAGAAGAGAGGATCAGGACCATCCCTTCCGGCCTGACCGTTTCCAGATCTATGAGCCAATTTCTGACCTGCCACTAATCCTTGCTGTAACAAGCCTTGCTCTATTCTTCTTGCTTGTGTTGCCAGACTTAGGATAACGTGCTTTTGGAGCTGACTCAGCCATTTCCATAAAACCCAGTAGAACCACGGCTATTTGCTAGCATCGCTTCAACGCTCAGAGTCTCACTCGCAGGAGAGAACTTGGAAGCTGGGTGTTTTTCTGCTAATGCTCCTCACTGGGTGGTGCTACTCCAGAGGATGTCATATGGGTCCTGTCTTCTGCATCCCATGATTTGTATACCTGCTCTGGAAGGTTTGGAGCTCGCTCCTTCAGCTGAAGACCATAAGAGCTCAAGTCTACAGTGTGGTGGGCAGTTGGGACTCAGAATCATAGAGGAGTGGAGTTGGAAAGGACCTCCAGAGGACCCCCCTGCCTGAGGCAGGATCAGCCCTATCCAAGCCGTGCCAGAAAAATCCATCATCTAAACTCTTAGTAAAACAACAGACAAGCCTGACACAACAAAACACCCAACCCTGCCACAGGGAAAGCAGGGGGACCACAGCAGCCAGTGTCCTGCTTCTATAAAAGGTTGTTAACATATGCTCAAGAGATCCCAAGTAGAGGCCATGTCCCCTGCTACAGAGGAAGGCAACCTCCTCCCTCCCCCCCCCGTACCAATCTGACCATGGGGTAAATTCCTTCTTGACCCCAAACATGGCATTAGTTTGACTCTGAGCAAGACCCTCTAGCCAGGAACCTCCAGGTCTAAGTCCCAGCAGAAGCACTGGCACAGTTCCCATCTTTGGCTCTAGCCAACACCCAGTGCCTCTGAGGAAGGCTAAAAAAAACCAAACAAACCCCTGATGCATGAAGCAGAAAAGGGGGGCAGGGACATTAAAACACAGCCCACTCTTGATTTGCAGCATATGAGGAGAACTGCTGATGTCACATCCCAGGCAAGGCCTCACTGAGCATGTACAAAGCTAAGTGCTTGACTGGACCACAGCTGGAGAGCTCAGCCATGGGCAGGATCCAGCCCCCAGCTCCTTCCAGGGACCATGCCTTCTGCCTGGGGCACTCCAAGCTGGCTGAGGGGAGAACATGAGGGCTCCATGGCAAGGTCACCAAAGAGTGACCCTTCCCTGCACCCTGTGCTTCCTGTGTGACCCCAACAGCCAGATCCACAAAGGCACTGCTCATCTGAACTGCCAGCCTTTAGCTAACAGCTTGGTGGCTGGCCTGCAATGGGGGCCTACCCTATGGCTCTCAGGCCTGAGGAAGCGGAGGCGATGTGGGACAGTGACACTAAAATGCAGTAAGCCAAACCCTAATGCACTTCTCAGAGGCACGGATGCAGTATGAAGACATCTAATGCATGAAGTGCAATCTCAGTTCACCCCATGCAACTGTCAGCAAACCAGTAGGATGCCCAGGCTCCTTATGAATCTTTTAGCCTTCAGAGCTTGGCCAGAACTATTCCACAGAGGTGTCTCTCCCAATCCTCCCGTCAGAGAAACAACCGCAAGAGACTGCCTGCAGCAGGGACGAGAATGTGCCCAGCGGCCTAGTGGTTATAGCACTTTCCCAGGGAGTGGGAGAGCTAGGCTCTAGAGGACATTATGTGGGGCCATGGAAAGAGGCAGTGCCTGGAGCCTACGCAGACTCAGGAGGTTATGCATTGAATGCTGGGATCCAAACACTGCAACCTGAGGATGGCCCGGCAAGGCATGGCCTGGATGGGGCAGAGACAGGATCCTGGAGCACTTTCATCCCAGCAGAAATTGCAGCCTGTGGGATTTAATGCTGAGCACCTTTCTTCCCATTTGTGATATCTGGCTTGCTCATGGAAATTCTCGCCACTTTTGTGGTTAGCAACTGCAGCACCACAACCAGGAAATATGAGCGCATTCCTAACTAGGCAACTAATTTATTGAGGGAGTCATTCAATGATTTGCCTCCTCTTTGTAAAATGGAGATGATAATTAACATTTCACTGTCTCACAGCAGCGTTCTGGGTGGACAACTCCATCACACCTCCACAACTCACGCTGTCTTTGCACTCTACTTGCTGCAAGTGAGCAGACAGAAGTGCTATCCTGGAGTAAGACACACTGTAGGCTGCCAGTACTATACTTCACTGCTAGATGGCAAGTGAAGCAGATAACAGCCTGCTTGCCTATGAGTAAACTGCAAACAGACAATGACCCTAACCCAAAAAATCATAGGCTGGCTGGATGCTGAGAGCCAAGGATTGGACATGGATATTGACTTCATGGCTCATTATAAGCTACCTGATTCCTGCTAATCTTTCTTCACACCATGGGAGATAATGACCCTCTTCCTTTTTTAAAAGGGCTTGATTTTCCACTAGTCAGACTATCTGACACTAGTCAGATGCTAGCAACCTCTGGGAATCTCTCTCCTCTCAAATTTCACAGCCCTGCAGACTGTTCTTAGCCCTCGGCATGCCTGCTCTTTTCCTCAGACCTGAAGAAGGTGGTGCTGCATTCAAAGGTTTGTATAAGTCTATCCCAACCATGCAGTTGGCCCAATAAAAAGTATCACCCACAAGGATCCTTACTTTGCACCTAAATCAGTGTTACCCACACCAGAGTGATTTTACCCCTGATTTTTTAGAGGTAGTTTTGCATCTTATTGAGCAAATGACTGTGTTGTAAATGCCTATTACATTACTATAGGTACATTGTCTAACCAGGACCTTAATTATGTTGACAAAATATTTTGCTTGCCTGAAGTGGAAGGTGGAAGAAAGCCTCATATGGAAGAGTGAAAGGAAGAAAAAAGCTGTTTTCTTGGCTTCCATAACATGACCTTGATCCAACTAATACATGGCAATACTCATGTAACATGTCAGCTCCTGTTACAACTCCTCTCCCTTCCCTGTCTTGATAATCAAATGAAAATAAATCATAGCATCCAGCAAGGAAAAAAACACCCCAAGTTACTGCTGACCTCTTGCTCTAGTCCCCAGTGGCTTCTGCTCAAGACAGCAACCCAGAAACCCAAAGGTTTACTGTATAAAATACATGACTGTGTATTTTAAGGATAAAATCCCAGGCCTGTGGAAACCACTGGCAGAACTCCCACTGAATCAACAGGGACCACCCTTCCACCCCTGCATTGCATTGCACCCACAACATAGCCATGAGAACACAAAGCTGCTTTGGACAGTGAAACATGGTGTCACAGCCTCAGCCCAAAAGACTCATAGCCTCCCAGTGTCTCTCTCCCATTAGCTCATCTGCCTTGAACATGTACAGACTGAGCTGTGCCAGTAAGAATAAGGTCTGGGTACCTTCTCTGTGGTTGGCAACTGCGAGGAAGGCCTCTCCCTCAATGACAAAGGCCTCCCAGTCCCTAGCGTTGTGCGTGGAGATCCTCTGGTACGAGATGAATTTCTCTTTTCTGTAGCTCCACTTGTATATTACAGAGAACTCCTGACCCCTTTCATTCTGCTCAAAATTAGCCACTGCTAGGAAGATCTGAAAAATAACAAGCCAGGACATCCTCAGTTTCTCTTCTTATAGGGAATTCTTAAGCACAGATGCTGTGGTATAGCCCATGCTTTTGGGGCAAACTCAACTGATGGGCACTTCCACCAGGGCACAGTGGGGGCAGTCACCTGGCCTACTCATGGCTGAGTGAAGGACAGAGTGACTTTAAATTGCAGTCCCTCCTGGCAGGCACCTCCCAGAGCATGCAGTGCTGCTCAACAAAGGTTGCCCCACCAGAGTCAGTCTCCTCTTCCCTTCCTTGCTTCAAAGGTTTGGGGAGAAGGAAAGGGGTGGGATGGAGAGAGTGGGGAGACAGAGACAGACTCTGGGAGGGGGAAGAGCTGCTCCAGGGGTGGAAGACAATGGACAGAGAGAGCTGGGGAGGCTGAGTGGAGAAGGAAAGCACTCGAGCTGCTGAGAAAATCCAGCACAGGCTGCTTTGTGCTGTCAAGTGCTGTGAGTCCACCTGGCTCCAGGCACACCCTTGCCTTCCCTTCCCAGCTCCGCTTGGAAGTTCAGCTTGCCATGCTGGTTCACACCCAGAACTGAGCTACTGAATGCAATGAGGGGAATCATTCCCAGGGAGCCCCTTAACGCAGCAGGCATTTGGGGGCATTATATTTACCATGTGCATATAGCATATTCATCTACTATATCTCTGTACAGTGCCTAGCACAATAGGCCATGATCTGGTTAATTTCTATGTGCTGCTACAATAGACATGTTGCAAGATAATTAATAATGCTGATTATCTGGAGAATAATCTCTGTGGTTTGGTAGTGAATATACTAAATTCAAGTTACCTGGCTTAGTGATGATTGCTCAGATATTTTGCACAGTGTTACCAAACTGGATGGGCCCAAAAGCTCACCCAAATTTGAACCATCCATCCTGTGAATACTCAGGTAGGTGACTTTGCCAGTCAGTTTCTGCAGACATTTTGCCAGTCGAAGTTGATGATTTTAATTTGTGGGACAAACCAAGGATCATAAAGGCAGTGTCAGTCAGAGAATGCATTTGTAAATGCAAACCTAATTACTTGTGTGGCTCTGGACCTGACTTTGCACCAAAATGACATCCCTAGAAGTTTCTCTGGTACTAGATAAGCCCTGGCTGCCCTCATACAGGGCTAGCATACTTATATTTGAAAACAGTGACAGAAAGGAACTTTTCTGTGGATACAATGGCTTATACCTGCTCTTCCTTTATACTTCTCTTTCCCTGCTTTCTGAACATATGCAGTCCCAATCAGAAATCCATGGTCTCTGTCATACAAGCATGAATTAACTGACCTGAACTCATCCCTCTTTGGCCAACTAACATATTAACGTAGCGCATGTGCTGTACACCTTATTTCCAGAGTTATTAGAGGTAGGCCCATACACCGAGGTACCAAAAAGTAGTACCTACTAACATTTATGTGTGGGTGCGTGCACAAAATGTGTGCATTTGTGTGTCTGTCTGTCCCCAGCAGCACTGTGCCTGACAAAGCACCACCAGTGAGAAGAACGAAGCATTCAGTGTAAGTGATTTTGAAAAGGTTTTTCCATATCTCTGCACTTCAAGTACCCTTGCGAATATATCCTCCTAGTCTCCTGCCAAAGGGAAGTAAGAGCACTTGATAGATTCATTCTGGAGATATTACAGGCAGAAGAGATTATCCCCAGGCATAAAACCAGGACTAATGCTAGAATGGTTGATGTTTGCAAGACCAGAATGCACTTACAACCAAAAAGGGAAGCAAAACAAAAAGGAGTGTGAGACAGGGAGTCCCTGGCAGAGCTGAGAACAAAAGGTCTTCTCAGTCTTGTGTTTGAATCAGAGACCACTCTTGTAGCCACTGCCTCATCCATAGCAAAGAGGGTTAACAAGCCAACACAGGGATTGCGGAGAAATTGGCTTGCTGTCTTCTGATTGCAGTCTGTTAGGAAATAACCTGCCATGCTAATTGTCAACCTCATATTGTTCCCTAGGATGACTTCAAGCCAGCTTTTTTGCAAGGCTCGTAAAAAAAGTTCCAGTGAAACTTTTTTCCTCGACAGGAAATTAGATTTTTGTTTAAACAACATTTTTCACAGAAAATGTCTATTTTTCTAAAATAGATCAGATCCTTTGTCAGAAAACTGGATAAAACACTCGAGCCAAAAAAAGTGAAGAAAAAAATTAGACAAATCTTTTGGTTTCATGCTTTTCAATGTTCAACAGTATTTGGCCAAAATGATTGTTTTTCAATGAAAAAAAAATCAAAATTTCCCACTGAAAAATTTGGACAAAAAATTAAACATTCTATTTTCCTTAAAATTTTCCCTGGAAAGAAAAAGAAATTCTGCCTAACTGCTTTCTGGCACTTTTTTCACACGAAGAGCCCTGATGCAATATTTTTTCTGAGGTCTCCATGATATATCATACTGTCAAACTGAATCAGGTGTGGTGAGGAGTAAAGCAATACCGATAATGTCAGCCTCTCTCAGTTTGGACGGTCTGTGTAGGTGCTGTCAAGGATACCACTGGTGTATAATATTATTACTCCTAATGACTTTGTTAGTTGTAATAGAGACCACAGGCTCTGGCTCTTAGTAACAACAAGGACTCTTTAGGGTTTATTGTTCAAAAACAACACTGGACATTAACATCATACCCCATTCCGACATGTAAAACATGGCACCAGCATAAAACCCAGCCCCTGGCTCAGTGGAAAGCATTCAGGTTTCTTAAGCCCCTTTCACACATTGATCAAAACGATTTTGTGTTTATAGCACATACATCCTAGTTCTCGCCAGGCACCTAAACATCTTTAGGTGTCATCATTCACATCCAGTCTCCCCAGACATTGTAACCTTCTGACCCGAGATGGGGATTTGTTTAGCCTAAGCATTTTTTGGGGGGCTTGTACCCATCTTATCTATTGTTGTCCATTGACTGGCTTTCTGAACTGCCAAGCAGCTAATACTCCTAACTTGCTCAGCTCTTCCACATAGGCCATGTATGTTCTACTTCCTGGCCACCACAGTCTATGGCTGAAGCTGTTACTGAGGCCTCCTTTGGTTCATGCTGCTAACAGGCCTCTGTATGGTTTCTATATGCACTGGTCAGTGGCTGCACCAATCCATGTCCAGCAAGGCCTACACATACAATACAAGCCCCAGGTGCTCAGGCAGTAGCCCTCAAGCTCTGGGTCTATGGTGTCTTGGTCTTGCTTCCAGCCTTGCTTCTCAAAGTAGAGGCAGGTATTTCTGCAAATATATACAGGTGGCTGTGTGAAGGTAGGCCTGGACAGTCTCCTCTCCCTACACTACCAGGAAAACAGAACCTGTGTACAGCCCCCTGCAGACACACAAGACATGGCTACTCTAACACAGAGAAGAGTATGAATGCTGGGGAACCTATAATTGCTAACATGGCACTTACAGATACATCTGAGCATTGTAGTGGGACGGTGGCGTGCTGTCAGCATGACCCTAGGGCAATAGAAGACACACAGATAAACAGACCCGTGAGCCCAGTGTGAAGCAATGCAGTGTGGAATAGCTGCAGGAGGTCTGACTAGGATGTGGCATTGAACCAACATACAGATGTGCCCAAACACACTTTTTTCCATGCTAACTTTGCCCAAAATGAACTGAATCAAACTGCAAAGTGATTTACCCAATGTGCAGGGAGTGGCTGGTTAATTCAGAAGAATCAAGTCCGTGGACACAGGGAACTTCAATTTGAAAAACCAGACAGCAGCACATGTGAAAAAGCCCTAAGAAGCACTGACGTGTGGACAAGCAATCAGACTCATTCTCTTGTGAGTCCCCCCGCCGCCCCTCGGCCTTGTCTTTGTGACTCGCTTTAAACATTTGCAACAAGGCTCCACTGAGGTTTTTCTATGAAGGCCTCTAATGACTCTCAGATGGCCAAAGATGTGCATGAAAAACTGAGGCCACAAACCAGAGAGTGGCTTTCTTTACAAGGACTGAGAACTAGTCTCCCTGTCACCAGCAAGGCACTCAGAATAGTTAGAGCACTTGCTGATCCTGGCATTACACACACGGCATGTCTCACGCGTTGTCAGGGAGGGAACAGAATGTATGCAATTTGGTTTCTGTGGCCAGAACAGTGGGTCATTTCAGTCCTTCTCCCAAGGCTGTGAATAACTGAATTCTTAGTACAAAACAGAACAGATTTGTACTGGGTTTTTTTTGGCCTGGGGGACGACGGTATTCCAACGTGTGGAAGTGCCTATCATACAATCTTTGAGTGATCTAGGTTAATTTAAAACATGAGCACATTTGTTGAAGAATATCAGGCTTCTCATGCACCATCTCAAATTGTTGCCCTCTCTCTCACAGATGTACTCTGACATGGAGAAAGGCCAAAAGATATTGGGGACAATATTTAAAAGCACCTTAGTGACTTAGGAACCTTCATTCCATTGACATCTAATAAGACTAGGGTTTGGGGCTATATATCTATTTGGGGCAATTCTAGGGGTAGACATCAACTATCCTGAGCTATACAAGCCAACCCCTCCCCATCTCCCATGCCCTGCTGCTCTGCACACATGAAACATGGGAGTGGAGATGAGTAGCTGGCAAACTGATTCCTATAAGGGTTCCACTGGGCCAGCCTCATCAACCTCACACAAGAAGCAATCAAGGATCCCAAAACACCTCATAGCTTGCAAACCCCTTGGACAAAGGGAGGTGAACCTTCATCCAGTCACCAAAGCTAGATGCTATTCCCAGCCAAACAGCAGCAACTTCACCTTGTCTAGAGTGACCTCCAATCCTGGACTTCAGCCAGGCCCTGTGAAAGCAAAACCTCAGGCTAACTAAAGAAGAGATGCATAGCTGGGTGTCAGGTGCATAATGATGAATATGGTACCTTGCAGTACATATCAGTTTACCATACAGCATGATGCCTCCCACCAGTAATGTCCTAGACAAAAGTGATCCTACTGGATCCATACACAATGACACCCTTGGGGCAGATGAGCCCTGCGC